AATTTTTTAATAAAGGTATTACGTTTTAATAGCAAGTGATCATATGAAATCCTAGCTTTTTTTAAAAAAAATAATTAATTTAAGAAGGATCAATAGTAATATATTCCACTTCTAGAAAATAAAATAAAATTAAAAAAAAAACCAACATTAATTGCGATAGAAAATTCTCATCAGTGATTTCAGATAAAAACAATGATAGAATAAAAAAACAAAAAAAACTCAATCGGTAATTATATCGGCATTGTTGACATGTTAAATTTCAACATAAATTCAATCAGTAATTTTAAAAAGAATTAAAACTAGATAGCCCTCTTCTCTTTCCATTTCATCTTCTTCTTTCAATTCACCACAACAATCCTCAGCCTCCCTCCTCGTAATCCAGCCACTAAACCCAATATATCTACGTAACAACCTAAGCTTCCCTCCTCTTGTTCCATTTCATTTCAAGTTCCACTCCACCAAGCAAGTGCACACGCTCATTCATCTTCTAACATATTTATATTCTAGGTTAATTTATTGAAATTTATTTGTAGTATTTGTAATCTCCTTGTATATTTAAGTATTTTACTTGTTTTATAATGATAATTTTATTATATTAATGTATGATTTTTATTTTACGGTTTGTTTGAGATTTGAAGGAAATTAATTTAATTTGTCATTTGATGAAAATGAGTGTGATTTTATAATTTAGGCGTGTTAGATGGAAGAAATGATAGGTAATTTAATGGGGATCAATTATTTTGTGTCAATTTTATGGTTAGTTGGATGTTTAGGAAAAACTATTTTATGTGGAATTGATAATAGTTGAAGTTATTAATTTATGTTGAATAAATCTGAATTAAAGAAATGATGAAAAATTAGTAGGTCCCAATTAATTTTAATTAATTATGGGTTTTGTTGAAAATTTAGGAAAAGAAATTATTGTGTAATTGATAACAATTAGGGTATTAATTGATGCTATTTATTCTTGAATTGTGTAAATAATGAGTAGAAAGTTGGGTACCAATTTTTTTTAATTTTATAATTTATTTGAAAATTTAAAAAAAAATTAAATTTATGTGTAATTGATAACAATTAGAATATGTTTTAACTTATAAAGTGTTTGATAGTTATTGGATTATAAATTAATATTTTTTCCTAAATCGGAGAAACCAAGTTACTTTGAAATTTAAAATATGATAAGTTATTAGATGGTTTGTATAGGTTAATTATTATTTATTTTTAATAAATAATTGAATTTAAGTTTGATATTATATTATATTTTTTAAAATCGTGTTCATTGTTTCCTTTCAATTATCATGTATTCAAAAAAAAAAAAGTCCAAGTCAAACAAAAGAACTCTTACCTCATCAAGTAGTAATGTCAACGATCATGCCATGAATTTAGGGGATGATTATGAAGACGCACCTAATATAAAAATTACCAACCAAGGCTCGATCACTAAAGATAATAGATCAGACGTCCTTTACTTGATAAATGTTATTTCAAACAAATAGATAACTAAAATGAAAGGGCAACCTTTAAATGTAATTGTTTTGTTTAATGATGTTATTTATTCTTATTGAGTTATTTAAAGTTTTACAATTTTATGAAAATAACTTTCTTAAACTAATTTTCAAGTTTACTAATTTTAAAGCTACTAATTTCATTACCTCTATGATAAAGTGATCATTTGAAGAACCATTGTTTCAATGGAGTCAACTTCATGACCATCCTAAATGGATGTATATGATAGATGCTTGGTGGGAAAACTTTAAAGTTAGATAAATAACATCTTATTCAATTATTCAAGTGATTGGTTTTTAAAATTTTAAAAACTAATTCATGTATGAAATCAATTAATAAAAGATTTTGGTGGAACGAGAGCAATAAGGTGTTTGTCAGGAGAGTATGAAAAAACCGTAATGCAACTAGCTAAATTTAAATCAATTAATGTTATATTATTGTAAACTTATATTCATTTATTTTCTTATCTAATTTATGTATAATAAATATTTATACGATGATCATAAATAAATAATTAAGAAGGACAGGTTGAATGACATGGAAAGGTGAAAATGCTATAAACAAAGTATATCATAGACCATAACTCGATAATATATCTTGAATTTGTAGTTTCAATTTTTTTCACAAAATGCTCAATATCTGGTACACAAAATAAAAATAAAAAACTCATGGTTTGATGAGCAAATACACTAGGGGAGAAATTCTATTTATCCACCACGCAAAACACCTAGTAAAAACTCATTGTTATATAATTTTTTTACTTTTCTTAAAGTTTGAATTAATGTGTTTATTAATGAGATTTTTAACAAATTAGTTAATTTATAGAAAAAACAACCTGAGTGAAAAGTGACTCTAATAAAGTTATATGAGAAAACTCATATAAAGAAAAGGAATAAAGAAAAAAAGGAGAAAAAGTTGGTCGATAAAATAATAGAAGCATTCATTGTAAGTGTTTTGATAGTTATCATTGGTTTAAGATGTTAAAGATTGTTTAATAGCATCAATAATATGAAATGTAATTGAATTTTGATTTTTGATTTTTTTGTTTTATAGGAGAGACATAACACCGACATTGTTGATAAATATGGCAAAGAGACTTCCACTCGTCCTCCTCGTGATCCTATAGCATGGTTAAAGACTATTGTGAGTGATGAACCTAGTAGAAATCAAGTTTATGTTTTGTTCATAGCATCTGTCTAAAAATATAAGACGAGCCACACGATTTCAACTTTAGACACGCTAGATTTTAACTGAAGCTATTCATCACATGAATTTGATGAGAATATGTTGAAAAGAGTTAAAAAATAAATGATTGTTGAGATATAGAAAATGAGTGAACAACTCTTAAAACAAAATAGAATGTGTTTGTCTCAACTAAGTGGAAGTATAGATATAAATGAATTACACAGATTTATGAGTTTTTATAGTTGGAATATTTAAGTATATAATTCATACAAATAATACACAACAATGATATATGTATAATAAAAGATAAGAGATACTAGTAGAAAACCACTCAAATTCCAATTAAAATACAACTAGATCAATAATGTGAATATAACTAGCTAGTATATCACATCAAAGGTGTTAAAAATAAATGTGAAGGAGGAGAAAAAGATGTTGAGCTAAAAGATCCATAAAATTTTTGTATAAATTAATTTTTAAAGATGTCTTTTGTTATAATTATGGGTTATTGTAAACAAATAATTGTTGGTTTGGGTATCATAACCACAAAAAAAAATCTCTAAATGAAGGAAATTCCCTTAAAATTTCCATCATAAATTTCACATTCATTTTAGAATTTCTAGTAAAATTTACAAAACATGTAACACTTTATTAACAGAAAATGGACAGTAAATTAGAATTCCTTACCTTTTGTTTTATACCTAATATATACAAAAGATTTTTTATTTTTTTTTTAAAATTACTATAACATGTTAGAACTTAGTGGTTTCTTAACTTACATGTAAGAATATAAGAGAATAAAAATAGTTAGGGAATAATGATGTTAGAAAATCTTGTTTTATTGGTATATATCAATCTATTATGTTGTTAGACAAATTCTTTAAAAGAAAACATTTAGTTCTTTCATGTAAAATAAAATTATGTTTGTATGTAATATGAATGTGGTAGATAGAATTTATAAATGCCCTTTTCTATTTGGATACACATTTTATTAAAAAATGTTTTTATTAATTTACAAGTATTTTTTAAATTAAAATATTTATTTTATTTTCGTTCAGTCCACCATAAACCAATATACAAATACACTCGCTATATCATGTAAAACACCACAATGATATTCTGATTTGTTCCTTTTATTTTCATTTTCTTTGTTTCTGAAAAATTTAGAAGCTACTAGAACAATACTCCTAAACAATCTTTCAAAATGCCCCCAGGCAGGATCGAACTACAGACCTTCAGCTTAAAAGACTGACGCTCTACCACTGAGCTATAGGGGCACTTGAAATTAAAAGTCGTCTTTTTTATTGAATTCTGCCACGTCAAAACAGACAAGTGGACAAGACTACAAGAAGGAGTGTAAGCAAGAGGATAAAAATAGGAGGCAACTACCATCACCAAGGCATCATCCAAAGGAGGAGCTACCAGTCCAGCGGTGTGGAGAGCATCTGAGATGGAGAAAATGAGTATAGAACAACTAAAAGCATTAAAAGAACAAACAGATCTTGAAGTCAATCTCTTACAAGACAGCCTTAACAACATCAAGACAGCCACTGGTCGTCTTGAAATCACCGCCACTTCACTTCATGACCTCTCTCTCCGTCCCCAAGGTAAAGCCTTTATTGCCTTTTCACTTAAAGCTTCGAGCTCTTTGGATCTTTGTTTGTTTTATAAGTCAAAGATTGAATCTTTATGATTTGTTTTTGTGGGTTTTTTTTTTTGAAATATTAGGAAAGAAGATGTTGGTGCCATTAACTGCTTCACTTTATGTACCTGGTACACTTGATGATGCTGATAAAGTTCTTGTTGATATTGGAACTGGATATTTTGTTGAGGTTAGTTGGTTAAAGCTTGCTGCTTTTAAATTTTTTTTTTTAGTGGTTTAGCATCGGATTGGATTGTTTTAACTTCATTGATTGGTTGCCTGCTGGTTTTGTTAACAGAAAACAATGAATGAAGGGAAAGATTATTGCGAGCGCAAGATTAACTTGTTGAAGTCTAATTTTGATCAGCTTATTGAGGTATGTTTTCAATCATTCTTTGTGTTAAGGATGTTGCGGAATTGTTCGCATTTGGAAAAAGTAGCACAGGGCACTTAGTTTGGTTTCTTTAAACCTGTTCTTTTGATGCTAATTGTGTTTGGGGAGTGCAGTCTTCTTTTAGAAGGAACTGCTTTTTAGCAGTTTGATAGGGTGCTTAACTGATTGGTATGGTGCTAAACCTGCATAGCGCATCATAACTTTTGATTGAACCATGCAATGCTAATTGTCTGTCAGTCTTTTCCCCAAGTATTTGTCAGCTTAAATCCATTTTCATCATATTTAGTTGCACCTTTCTACTCCGGTTTTCTTCATGTCCCTTCCATGATGTCCGTTCATGTCCCAACTTACAAGAATTGCAGCAATTTTGAAGGATTGTGATGAGGTAATGTGATTTAAATTGGAATGAATTTGAACTCCTTGTGTACTGGTCTTCTGACACCAAACCATACCAGCATTTGGCCATTGTTGCATTTTGCATAAGATTGGAGAGCTGACAAGTTTTCTATTTAGGACCACACTAGCAGAAATTGTGATTGTCATTAATCCCGTGTCAAAAGAAGCATGCTGGGAAGAAAGTAGTCCATCAAGTTAAACATAATAATACTAATTGAAGGGTTTAAAATGCATTTTCTTTTCTTCTTTGACATTGAGGCTTCAATCTTTTTCAATGGTTTGATGTTACCATCACCGCA